CGGGCCGGGGCCGCCTGGGAGCAGGCCCCTGCGCCGTGTGACGGGGGATCGGCCTCCGGGGCGAGGCGATGCGTGGCTCCCTGCCGCCTGCTACTCGTAAGAGAGGTCGCCAAGGGAGCCAGGCGAAGTTCCTGACCGTGACAAAGCGAAGGATCGAGCCCCAAGAACGTGTGTGCGCGTTCCTGGGCATGTTGTTTGCGTTACAGCCACAGCCCCTGGCATCAAATACTTTTACACCCTAACGGCTGAGTCCCAAAAAAGGCATAAGCCCCCTCTTCTTCCCAATTTTGCCTTTGAAATCAGAGGACAGGGGCCAGGGAGATAGCTCAGTGGCACAGGTACCTGCCTGGCAAGTGCAAGGTCCTGAATTCGATTCCCGGTACCAAAAAATAAGTACATAAAGTCAGAGGAGAGAGGCCGGCATGGTGGCGCACGCCTATAATCCCAGCACTGGGAGGCTGAGGCAGGAGGATCGTTGCGAGTTTGAGGCCAGCCTGAATTGTGTAGCGAGACTGTCTCAAAAAGACCAGGGAACAAAAAGAGAAAAAACAGGTTTTTGGTTTTGGTACCGAGCTAAATCCCCAGCCCGTTTGTTTTTTGTTGTTGCTTTGTATTTTGGTGGGTTTTTTTTTTTTTTCTTTTTTTGGGGGGGTGGTTTTTTGAGACAGGGTTTTGCTGTGTAGTCAGTCTGGCCTTGCACGAGGAGCTATTGCCTGCCTCAGGCTCCTGTTATGCCCAGCTAGCTGGCTTTATTTTTTTAAATTTTTTTTTTTTGTCTTTTTGAGACAGGGTCTCACTATGTAGTTCAGGCTGGCCTTGAACTCCCAAGGATCCGCCTGCCTCAGCCTCCCGAGTGCTGAGATTACAGGCATGCACCACCACGCCCGGCAAGCTGGCTTTAATCAAGGGAAGGATTGTTATGTGCCGGGCGTCTTGGGGTGGGAGAGGTGTTTGCTCTTAGTAGTAAGTGTATGTGTATACATTTGTGTATATAATTTTATTTTATTTTTTGTCTTTTTGGGACAAGGTCTCGCTCTGCAGTTCAGGCTGGCCTTGAGCTCACTTTGTAGCCCATACTCGTCTTGAATTCGCAACAATCCTCTTGCCTCAACCTCCCAATCGCTGGGATTACAGGCGTGCACCCCCACACCTGGCTGTGTATATAATTTTATAAATCCACGTATTTGTATGTTGTGTTCCACATTAATAATGAAAGACTTCGGGGCTGGGGATTTAGCTCAGCAGCAAAGCGCCTGCCTGCCAAGCTCAAGGTCGTGAGTTTGGTTCCCGGTATGGGAGAACCCCCCCCCCAAAAAAAAAAAAGACTTCGAAGAGGGATGGGTACACTAATGTTACTCCAGCTACTGAGACGGCTGAGGCAGGAGAAAGTTCCACCCCAGTCCTGGGTGGCTTAGCAAGCCTCTGTCTGAAGGAAGGATAGACTGGGAATGCATAAAGCTCAGTGGTAACGCATTTGCCTAGCATGAGTGAGCCCCCGCTCCAATCCCCAGTGTGGCAAAAAGAAAAAAAGGGAAGACCCGAGGGCAGGTCTTCTCTGGGCTGCTGCTTGCCACCAGCAGGGCTCGCCCTGGGCCTGATGGTGTTCTCTGCGTTCCAGTATGCTCAGGCTTCAGAAGAGGCTGGCCTCCAGCGTCCTCCGCTGTGGCAAAAAGAAGGTCTGGTTGGACCCTAATGAGACCAATGAAATTGCCAACGCCAATTCCCGTGAGTACTTGACACCTCTGCCTCCTCCCTGCCTGTGCCTGTCCTGTGTCACGTGAATGGAAATTTAGATCCTGTCTTAAAAGAAAAAAGGGCTGGAGCTATAACTCAGTGAGAGGACATGGGTTCAATTTCCAGTACAAAAGAAAACAGCAAAAAATAAGGCCAGGCGTGGTGGTGTGCACCTGTAATCCCAGCACTTGGGAGGCTGAGGCAGGAGGATCACTTGCTTGTTGGAGGCCAGCCTTAACCACATTAGTGAGCCCCTGTCTCAAAAAAAGAAAAAGAGGAGTGTTGGGTGTGCTGCCACACACCTGTGGTCCTTGTACTGGCGAGGCTTAGGGAGGATCGCCACAAGTTCAAGGCCAGCCTGAACTATGTAGCAAGACCCTGCTTCAAAAAAAGCAAAAAGCCAAGGCGTGTGAGGTGAACTGGGAAGACCTGAGGCTTCAGACATGCAGTGGAGGCTTTGGGCGTGTGTTTACTCAGGGTATTTGAGCAGATAGCTCTGAGGTACTTGGCTTTCCTCCATGTTTTGTCAGGGATGTAGTTTGGTGTGTGCTATAAAACATTTTTTAAAAGGGAAGGGGTAAGTTTCTGTTTTTTTCCACCATTATTGAGACGTTGGCCAGGATGTGAGCGGTGTCGAGGATTGGCTGGACCCTGCTGACTGATAGGGACAACCTTGTGCTTCTAGGTCAGCAAATTCGGAAACTGATCAAAGATGGCCTGATCATTCGCAAGCCTGTGACGGTCCATTCTCGGGCTCGATGCCGGAAGAACACCTTGGCTCGCCGGAAGGGCAGGCACATGGGCATCGGTAAGCACGATCGTCTCTGTAGTTTGGCATACAAGGGTGAGGCGTGGCTGCAGAAGGCAGTCACACTGACTGAGTTCATACACTGTCGGGTGGTTCTGTGAAAACCCTGAAGTCCCTTTCTGGTTGGGATAATTGAAGGGGACTAAGGTCGCACTATGCGTAGAGCCACTTCTCTCATTCCATGTTACTTGCTGCATAGGTGAAGTGCGCACAGGGAGTAATTGCCATGTTTGTGCTTCTTTTTTTTTTTTTTGGTTTTTTTGGTTTTTCTCCGGTACCGGGAACCGAACTCACGACCTTGCGCTTGCCAGGCAGGCGCTTTGCCGCTGAGCTAAATCCCCAGCCCCCATGTTTGTGCTTCTTGAAAAATGTAGTAAAAGAGCTCAGGCGTGCTGGTGGTTCATAACCTGTGTCCCAAGCTGAGGCAGGAGCACTGAATCAAGGCCAGTCTGAGACTCAAGATGCAAAAAAGGCTGGAGTGTAGCTCAGTGGTAGAGCGCTCACCTGGCATCCTTGAGGCCCTGTGTTCCATCCCCAGTACCACACACACAGGTTGAGTAAATGAAAGAAATGAAATTTTGGAGCCACTGTACAATGGAAGTCATCTACTTAAAATGGAATGGGTGGCCAAGTGTGTGCACCTGTCATCCCAGCACTTGAGAGGCTGAGACAGGAGGATTGCCCTGAGTTCAAGGCCAGCCTGAACTACATAGTAAGACCCTGCCTCAAGAAAAAAATAAATTGAGGGAGTAAGTAAAGAGCCATCAGCTGGTTGTTAACCTAGGCCATGGCTGATTCCTAGTTCCCTGTCCTCACAGGTAAGCGAAAGGGTACGGCCAACGCCCGGATGCCAGAGAAGGTGACCTGGATGCGGAGGATGCGCATCCTGCGCAGGCTGCTCCGGAGATATCGGGAATCTAAGAAGATTGACCGCCACATGTGAGTCCACCACGAGGTTGGCCGTGCAAGGCTGGTACTTTGCAGAGAGCTCGGTAGCCTCAGGAGGGGTCTGAGAAGGTTATCATCAGATGGCGCCTTCGTCCCCCACAGGCCACTGGGACAGCCCAGGAACAGTCTGCCAGGCAGCGTGTCCGTCCAGAAAGAGCCCAGCTGTGGGAGGCAGCCCCTGCACGGTGGGAAAGGGAGGTGGGAGGTGCAGCAGGCGCAGTGACGCCAGCCAGGCTCGGCTGCTGAGCAGGCCTGTGCTCCGCACCCCGCAGGTACCACAGCCTGTACCTGAAGGTGAAGGGGAACGTGTTCAAGAACAAGCGGATCCTCATGGAGCACATCCACAAGCTGAAGGCGGACAAGGCCCGCAAGAAGCTGCTGGCGTAAGTCTCGGGGCGAGGACCCTGGCCCTCGCTGGGGGGCTTGAGGAGCATGGGCACTGCCAGGTCATGATGAAGCAGGAGCCCTTGGTGGCTCTTAGGCTTGGGGTTTCAGAGCCTCTGTCCTCCCACATTAACTCCTGTGCTTTTCTTACCAGTGACCAGGCCGAGGCTCGCAGGTCAAAGACCAAGGAAGCGCGCAAGCGCCGCGAGGAGCGCCTGCAGGCCAAGAAGGAGGAAATCATCAAGACCCTGTCCAAGGAGGAGGAGACAAAGAAGTAGCACCCTGTGTGTACAGAGCAGACCGGTCCCGAATAAAACTGTTGTCCATTCCTCCGGGGTGCACAGCCTACTCTGCTTTCTCCCTGTCCGGCTACCTGTGCCTGGTCTCCTTTGCAGGGGTGAGGGGCCAAGTTAGGAGTGAAGGGAGAGGTGGTTTCTGCCTGTACCTCCAAAATACCATCCTTTACACCTGCCCTCTGCAGCTCTCACGTAGCACTGAGGAAGCCATCTTGGGAATAGGACCAGTAGTCAGTTGTGACATGAGTGGGGGTAATAATGTTTATGTTACTCAGGCTAGGTTTTTTTGTTTTTGTGATTTTGGTAGGGGTCAGTAAACCCTGGGGCTTCCCACTGAGGTAATTCAGCCCTTACATATTTTGGGACAGTTTTGTTAAATGGGCCAAACTAGATCAAACTTGAGATTCTCCTGCTTCATCCTCCCACAGTGCTGGAATTACAGGTGTGCACCACCATACCTTGCTTTTGTTTTTATTTTTTTATTTGCTTGATTGTTTTTTTGTTTGTGTTTCTTTTTGAGACTGTCTTGTTATGTAGTCCAGGCCAGCCTTGAACTCACAGTGATCCTCCTGCCTCAGCCTCCCAAATGCTGGGATTATAGGTACTCAAGCCTTAGCCTAAAACTGCCCCCATGTCTGGTTTACAGATACAACTTTGCCCCTGGGTTGCATAAAAATGTAAGTGGAGGGGCTGGGGATTTAGCTCAGCGGCACAGCGCCTGCCTGGCAAGTGCAAGGTCGTGAGTTTGATTCCTGCTACGGGAGGGGGGGGGACCAAAAAAAACCACAAAAAAAGTGGAAATTAAGACAGCAAAGTTTTTTAGGCAGGATCTTACTGTGCACCCCAGGCTCGGAGCCACTGCATTGCTTCCTTTGTGTCTGCTTAAACAGGGAGTGGGTTTCATTTTCCCACTTAACTATGGGAATTGTTGCCCATAAATTCTTTATTGAAAAATCTGGGCCAAGTATGGGTAGACACTTGCCACTGACTTTCTTGAGTATAGATGGAAGTCCTGTACTACAGCTCCACAGACTGAACTAGTTTCAACGGTTCTCAGCCTGAGCTGAGGTAGCAGTGAGAGCTGGTCCACCAGCCAGCTATACTGGGGGGCAGTTTGGGGAAGGGAGCGGCTTAGTTCTGGGCTCACCTAAAACTGGTGACCCTCCTGTCACCTCGGTTATGGGTGGCAGCCCCCTTCTGTGGGTGTATGGGCAGTGGAGCTACATAGCACCCAGGGGAAGAGGTCTGGAGTCTGCAGGCTCTCGGCCCATGGATCGCAGTGTGCCAGTCTCCTTGCCTACTGTGGCCTCCCACGCCTGTGCCACCCTGGCTCGTGCTCCAGGCCTGGGCTGCCCTTCCAGGGAAGCCTGCAGCCCAAGGCCAACGAAACAAAAGGCCACCCAAGCCCAGAACGCTGAGCACAGCACGGGAGCCGGTTCTGCCGCGGGTCAGTAGGTGGCACTGTTCGCTCGCAGGGCGCAGCTCGGCGGCTCTGCTGCAGGCTTTGCCTCCCTGAGCTTTTGGTGGGGTGCTTGGCTGCTTGGAGTTCCTGGAAGGTGAGGGGAAGGGACTGGAGGTAAGGAAAGGACCCTGCCTCCCGGGAGTCCTAGAGCGCTATCACTTGGCATCTCTACCACTGAGCCACACTCCCAGGCCAGCCACTTCCTGAGACACCCTGGAGTTCCTGATCTCTGTCCTGTGCCTTTGCCGCTTCCCAGGGAGCCAGAGCACCCCACAGTCACCAGACTTCCAGGACCTGGAACCGTCTGAGTACACCATGTATGGGGGCCTAGAATCTCAAAACACCAAAAATGGGGGGGGGGTAGATTTAAAAAGCAAAATCCAATTAAAAGATATGTCCTAAACCTGGGCACAATAGTGCACGCCTGTGATCCCACCACTGGGAGGCTGAGGCAGGAAGAACCCAAGTTTGAGCTCAGTCTGGGCAATACAGCAAAAAAGACCCTACGTCAAAATTCAAAAAGTTAAAAAGTGCTATGAGCCTGGCTTGCGGGCGCACGTCTGCAATCCCAGCACTCGGAGCTGAGGCAGAAGGTTCACTGCTAGTCTGAGGCCAGCCTGGGCTACATAGTTCAAGGCCAGGCTACACTGCGCTACACACCACACACGTGAGACACTCTCTCAAAAAGATGTGCCGAGGATGTCTGCAAAAAGCCTGGGCTCAATTCCCTGTACTGGGTGGGGGCTGGAGAGTAGCTCAGAAGTAACCTGTGCTCACCGCCGCAGCACCTCCACAGTGCTGGGATTACAGGCGTGGTGCCCAGATCTGGCATTTTTTTTTTTTTTTTTTTAAGCTCAGGCACTCTGTGTATTTCAGGCTGGCCTTGAACTCAGTCTGGCCCAAGCTGGCCTCTAGCTTGTGGCAGCTGGTATCCACCCGTGTCCTTAAGGCTGCTCTGTCTCTAGCTCCCCGAATCTCCCCAGGTGACCTTTGCCCCTGCACCTACACCGGGTCGGAGGCAGCTGCTGTAGCGGAACACAGCCCGCGGTCCCGGCTGTCCTCTGCCCCAGCTCGGTGGTTGCTGGTGCACACCCCAAGAGGGAGCAGAGGGCGGGACACCAGCTGTCCCCAGGCCCGGGGCTGCGAGCAGGCTGCTGGTGGCTCAGCCACCCGGAAAAGTTGCTGTGCTCGGCAGTGCGACAAAGAGGCCGGGGGAGGGGGTGCGGCGGCTGCCTGGCTGGCCGCCACACTCCAGGGCAGAACGCCTGGCTGCTGCGAGTTCCCGCGGCCTCCAATAGGGGGCCCCCATCCCTAGGGTCCCACCCTGCTCCTCAGGTTATCTCTGTCTTCACCTTTGTACTCGGGGCAGCAGGGCGAGAAGAGCTAAGCTGAGAGAAAAGACATGGTTCCTTCTTCATTTTTTTTTTTTTTTTTCTTCCCAGTACTGGGGATTAAATCCAGATCCTTGCAGTTTTTTTTTGTTAGCGTCTCCCTAAATTGTCCAGTCTGGGTTCAAACTTGAGACTCTCCCGCCTCAGCTTCCCAGAGTGATGAGATGACAAGCGTGGACCCCCTTCCTGGCTAGGAAAAGCATTATTTCGGGGGCTGCCTTGATCACTGATGTGCTGAGAGACTTTGCACAAGTCATTAGCTTGCTCTGTGCTGGTGAGTTTCCCCATACATGAACAGAGCAGAATTGGGCTGCGGTCTGAAACTACCCTGGAGAAGCCCCCTACCATCTCCGTGCCTTGCGGTCCTCATCCGGGGGAGACCAACCCGCTGTCCTCTCCGAGTGCTGGACGATTCAGCGGTGCGAGGTTCCCGGCAGCCCTGCCCCAGCTGGGGGAGGGGGGTTAGGACCACCCGGGCGGAAGAGGCCACGCCCCCGCAGCGCGCCTATAAATAGCCGGACGCCGGGCCGCTCCGCCTGCGGGCTCGGGTGGGCTGTGGGTCAGGTGGCTCCGGGAGGGGCGCGCTGAGTCATCAGCCCTGAGTCCTCGAGCGTCCCTGCAGGCAGCAGTCTGGGGGCTGCGGGAGCTAGGCTGATCTCGGGCGGGTGACGAGCCCTCCAGGCCGAGGCAAGTGAGTCTCGGCGGGCTTCTCCGGGTCGGGGAGCGCGGTCCTGAGGGTCGGAGGCGTGTGCTCGCCGCTGTGCCCCTGGGGAGGGACGGCAGCCCTCCAGCGTCTCCCCTTCCCTAGGGCCCTCTCTGCGTTTTCTCCTTGCCCCGTTCGCCCTGCCAGACGGGTGCCAGCCCCAGCCCTGTCTCCCGCGTCAGCAGCGACCCCGGCCCCGCTCCCGGCGCCGCTCCAGTCACTCCCTGAGCAGACAGCTGGAACAAGACACGTTTAATTGGGGCCTGGGGCTCCGCAGGGCCGGGCAGACCCGCCATGCAGCCTGGTGTACAGTGGGCATCGGCCGCCCCGGGGGTGTCGCTGGGGGGCCTCATGGCAGCAAACAGGGCAGTGTGGCTTGAGCCCCCTCTGCGGGGGAGAAGAGGGGAGGAGAACCTGGGTGCCTCTCACTTGGGGGTGTGACTGTGCCCGGGAGGGGGTGGCATTGGCTGGCATGACCAGGGGCACAAGGAGGCTGAGCCTGGGGGAGGAAAGCTGGCACCAGAGAAAAGCAGCCTACAAGGGAGAGGTCCGGTGGGATGAGCCCCGGGGTCCCGCTCCCCTCATTTCCTGGGACCCAAGGAAAATGCTTCATCCTTGTCTGTCCCCTCTTCCTCTTCCTCGGGTGCTGTGTCCGGGACAAAGGGGCAGACAGGGCCACAAAGGGACTCCCCAGAATCAGCCCCTGCCCTGCAGAGCTGGGGGGGGGGGGCTGCTGTCGTCAGGGCAACCCGACAGTGACACAGGGCGGTTTGGACCAAGCATGGAGCAGGGTCTGGTTCTCAGTTGGCCTCTGGGCCCAAACTGCGCCGCGGTGATGGTCCTACTTGAGGGGACAGTCGCAGTTCGTCACCTCTGCCGAGACCTCTGCCCTCCCCCACTCTGTAGGCCCAGGTTTCAAGTAATGGGAGAGATTCCTGCAGAACTTTCCTGAGAAGTGAAGGGTGACCAAGACATGGAGACCAAGAGAGGTGGACTCGGGGCCCTGCCGTGGCACTGGGTCCCCTCCCCAGCGGGCGGAGGGCTGAGGGGTGCAGCAAGCCCCCCAGAGCGCCACTTGCAAAGGGGCGGGTGTAAGTAGACCCAGGCAGAGGCTCTGAGGCGTGGGTTCAGGCATGCAGAGGCCGTGTGGGCACGTGGGGGGTCTGGGTATCCCAGGGGTCCCCCCAGGACAGGACTCAGCAGTGGCCAGATTTGGGGTACCCGGGCACTGTGGGGGACGTACCTACAGCTCCCCACTTCCTTGCAGTCCCAGGGGATCAATCCAGCAGGGCGCCCCACCCAGGAAATAAAACCTTCCCAGGTCTCAGGGTCCCAGCAGAGGGGCAGAGGAAGCGGCTGCCAGGATGCCCGCGCCCCTCCTGGCCAGATGCAGGGCCAGCCAGGCGCGTGGGCGTCTACTCTCCTGGCTGTCAGATTTCGTTCAGGGCGTCAGCCGGCACCAGGCCCCGCTTCTTGCCGCTGCTGACGCGGATAAAGCCGTCCGCATCTCTGCTCCTGCCCACACCGACGCAGATCTGCACAAGCCAGTGAGGAAGTGCTGAGCCCTGGCCCGGAGGCCTCCTGACACCCCCGGGGCCGGGGCAGGGGAGAGGGGAGCAGGACCAGGACAAAGCAACATCAGGGCTGAACTCAGATGTCCCCAGAGGAAGGATTAAAATGGACAGGGCTCTCCCGGGTAGCACAGCAAGCCAGGCCCAAAATCAGCGTTCAAACCTGGGGCTCGAGGCTCCGGCTCCAGTGCTCCCGCACTGTCCCTACTGCCTCTAGTGCCGTCCAGGCCCACCTGTGCCCACCAACCCCACCCCTCAGCAGGGAAGCGGGAGCCCCGGCTGCAAGGGCCCTGCGGCGCTGGCCGGCCCTGCTCCTCTCGTGCCTGGTCCCAGGCCTGGCTCACCTGGTTCTCCTTGAGGCTCAGATGACCCTGCTCCTTGCTTCCCGAAAAGGGCCGCCAGCAGCGCCACACGCTCTCGCCCGGCCTCACCCGCTGCACAAAGTTGGCCGGGAAGAAGCCCACGCGGTCGCCGATCTTGCCCTGGGGGAGAGGCCGGCTGTGAGCCCCAGCACCACTGCCCGCCCCTGCTGCTTCCGGGACCCAGCTCCCACTCAGCCAAGGCCATCAGCCCCAGGACTCTGGGCCAGCTGACCGTGGGTTGGGGGCTGGGAGGCTGGGAGGGGGCAGAAGGACACAGCCAGCACAGGGAAGGCCAAAGCCACAGCAAAGGCGGTCGGGGAGATCTGTGGGGCCTGGGGGGGCAGCACCCTGCAGGGCCCCAGGTCCCCCATGCCCCCCCGCAGAGTCACCTTCCACCAGTCCTCGTTGGAGTCATCCACCAGCATGATCCGATCTCCAGGCCTGGGGAGGGAGAGCCAGGCAGCCCTGGGGGTACCTCGGGACCCTGCCCAGCCCCCTGGGTGCCCCCCAAGAGGATCCCTTGTGTCCACAGAGCCAGCCTGCTGGCCAAAGGGCAAGAGATAGACATGGCACTGTGGCTTTCAGAGCCTACCCAGCTCCAGTCCAGTGGGGCCTCTGCAGACCCGAGCTTGCAAGAAGGTTCCTGAGGGTGCCCCTCAACCCACATGCCCAGGTGAGCGGGGTGCAGAGCCTGGAGCCCTGCAGTTTCCCAGTGAGGCTGGAGCACAGAGAGTACTTACTGTAGGGCCAGGTCATTGCTCTCCTGGGGCAGAAACTTGTAGAGTGCAACATAGGAGTACATGGGCCCCACCTCCTTCCGCAGGGGTGCCTTGGGGGGCTGGGGAGAAGCGCTGAGTGGGTGCTGGGTGCACAACACCCTCGGCGCCCCACCGTGTCCTGCTTGGAGCACCTGCCCGGTTACATGAGGCACCGCCAGACCCTCCCTTGGGGCAGCAGAACAGGAAGTGCACCGGTGAGGTGTCCTTGAGCCCTGCGCCCCTCTCACACTGACACCGCCGGCCCCCCAGCGCTCAGGATGAGCTCGGGAGCCGTGGCTCTGTCACCTGCCCACAAGGACAGGGGACGCCCGCCTGCCCGCCCGCCTGCGGGGTCTCACACCTGCTGTCCAGGGCTCCTTTCTTCTGCTCCCGACTCTTCGCTCTCGGCCAGGGCTGTGAATACTGGGGTCGCAGCGTGGGGCCAGGGTGTGAGCAGCTGCGGGGCCCCCTGCCGCACCCCATCCCGGCCGCGTTCCTTCCCGCTGCTCACCGCTGTCCCCGGGCCCCTCCTCGGTGCTGCGGATGCTGCCCTCCCCGTCCTCGGTCAGCTCCTCGCGCTCGCTCTGGGGACAGGCATGGGAGGCAGGGCTCAGCCCCAGCACCCTGGTGCCCATAGGCCCCTCCCCTCGGTGCCCACTGTACCAGGCTCTGCGTGGGGGACTCGGACGTGCTGCTGAAGCTGGAGCGGTTCATCAGGGCCAGGGACGTGCCGTAGCGCAGGGTCTCATACACTGGGTCCACCTTCCCGCCGGGCCCTGCCGGGCACCCATGCTCAAGGCCGGGACCTGCAGCCTTGCTGCAGGTCGGCTCCGGCTCACTGAGCTCCATCATCCCTTCCCCAGCTGCGCCAGGCCTCCTCGTCCCTGTGGCCTCTCTGTATCCTCCCAGGGTGCCCAGGCAGAGACCTGGACTCCTCAGTGTCCTGCTGCCCACAGCCCACTGCAGCTGCTCACTCAACCTCCCAGCTTCCGAAGAACCCGCCCTCATCTCTTTTCCTCCACTGCTGCCGGTATGGTCCAAGCTACCAAACTCTCTGGGCAACCTCCCAGCCTCCCAGCTGGGCTCCCAAAACTCTTGAACCAGCCCCTCCAATCCATGAAGCAGCCACAATGCTCTCATCAAAACACAAGAATTCCCTGGGCATGGTGGCACACACCTGTAATCCCAGCACTTGGGAGGCTGAGGCAGGAGGATGGTTGCAAGTTTGAGACCAGCCTGGGCTACAAAGTGAGCTCAAGGCCAGCCTGAACTGCATAGCGAGTTGCTATCTCAAACAAACCAACAAAAATCTACAAAGGCTCTGGATTCAATCTCCAGTACTGTGATCAATCAGTCAATGGAAAAATAGTCCCTGCCTTGCTGCAGGGACACTCACCGGTGGGTGGGGACTCTCTGCTCACAGCACAGGCTGGTGGCGGCTCATGCACCAGGAGGGGGGAGCTGAAGTTGCGGCGGAAGGAGGCGGACTGTGCCAGAGGAGCAGAGGCGGAGGTCAGGACTGGGGTGGCCCCCGGGAGACCCAGCCGTGGGGCCCGGCACCCCGACCCACTCACCATCTTGCCCGGGCATTGCTGGCGGGAGATCTCCTCCGAGCACCAGAGGTGGACGCTGGCCTTGCAGCTCTTACAGCGCAAGCCCTGCTTGGAGTTTCCTGGAAGATGTGGGGTTCAGCCAGAGGGCTTGGTCAAGAGCAGGCCCAGCCCTGGGCATGGGAGGCAGGCAGGCAGGCAAGGGCACGTGGAGCTCAGGGCTGGGCAACCTCTGCCAGCTCCAGGCCAGCACCTCCGCCTACAGTCGGAGTGAGTGGCGTGGGAGCCCGAGGCTCGGAGAGCACAGGCGAGGGCGCTGCGGACACAGCCACGCCCGTGACACTTCTTCCTTTGCTTTTTGCAGTGTGGGGTGGAGCCCAGGGCCTCACACGGGCTGGGCAGCGCCCAGGAGAAGGGACACAGCTAGCACCAGGGCGGCACTGGTGCGGGCTCCCCATCACCCACCTGGGGCCCAGTGCCTACCCACGATGAGCTGATGGCACAGCTGGCACGGGTTGGCGCGCTTGAAGACATGTTCCTGGAAGCTGTGCAGCCTGGAAGTCTTGAGCGGTGCTGGGGGGCGCAGCGCTGGGCACGGGGAGGGCGCTGGGGTGGACGCGGGCGGTGGGGAGGGCGGGGGCAGCGGGGTCGGGGGTGTGAGCAGCACCTCAGTGGGACACTTGAGCTCAGAGCTGGAGCGCAGGAAGAAGTTCTCGACGCTCTTGCTCCTCAGGATGGTCTTGAGGGACAGCGAGCGCTTGAACCGCTGCAGCTAGGGAGGAGGGCGCCGTGGGTGGGGCGCCCCCCAGGGCGCAGGGTGGGGACAGCAGGCCAGGGCATTGAAAGCTAGATGTGGTGGCCTCCGCCCATAATCCCAGGGCTCAGGAGGCTGGGACCGGAAGACCACTTCCACCCTGGGCCCCAGTCTCCCTGTGACCCTGCAGACCTGTTCTTGCCACCCATGGGTCCCCAGCAGACCCTGGAAGTTCTGGGACTCTCACGCTTCTGGGGAGCTCTGGTGCCTTTATCCTCTTTGCCGTACTCGCCAACACCTCTGTACCCTTCCAAGCCCTTCCCTCAGCCCCTCTGCCTCGGATGCCAGCTCCCCACAGGAATTCCCTCAAGGGACCCCTCCCTCCTCCGGTGCCCGCCGCCCCTGTGCCAGTCCTGACCTGCTAGGCCCCCACTCAGATTACTGCTGTCACTGCTTCTCATTCCCTCAGGAGACTGTGACTTTTTGGAGACAGGCTAAGCTGCCCTGACTGGTCTGGAATTTGAGGTGCTCCTGCCTCAGCCTCTTGAGTAGCAGTGATTACAGGCATACGCCTTAAGGGCCAGCACTGTTCCCCAGGTCCCCATAGAGGGTGTCACCCCACCTCAGGCGTTGGTGGGCTGGCCGAGTGGCCGGAATCCTCTCCCCACTGCTCGCTCAAGCACATTTAGGTTGTCAGAGCCTTCTGCCCACTTCTTCCCACCAGCACCGAAAGGGTGCAGGCCCGACTCCAGGCAGTGGGACTTGGCCAGGGCTCTTGGCTGGTGTGCCAGGCAGCCCGTGTGCCATGGCTGCCTGCCTGGCCACAGTGCCAAGGGGATGGAAGTGGTGGCCCTCAGTCCCCGCAGGCAGCAGGCAGCAGGATGGATGGGGAGCGGGCACGGCTGGGCACAGGCAGCCATGGTGTCTGCTGGGTATGGCCCCTGTGCCTTCCCAACCCAGCTTCCTGGACAGCGCTGTGGGCACCCACGTGACTGTGAGAAGTGGGGTCCTGGCCCGGATGCTGGGCTCTGGAGCAGTGGCGGAGGCCAGAGTGGTGATTAGGAACACTTGAGTGGGGTCGTGTCAGGCAAAGCTCTGGAGGTCCCAAGGGGTGGAGGGGCCCCCCGCTGTCCGGCCCAGGGACCCCGGGCATAGATCAGCACCCACAAAAGGCAAAACCAGGGAGATGTGCTGGGGTGGACAACAGTGAATCTGACGATTGAAGGCAAAAGTTGGTTTGTTTATTTTTTTTGTCTTTTTGAGACAGGGTCTCACTATGCAGTTCAGACGGGACTTGAGCTCACTTTGTAGCCCAGGCTGGTCTTGAACTCGCATCGATCCTCCTGCTTCAGCCTCCCGAGTTCTGAGATTACAGGCACGCCTTTGAGCTAGCATTTTTTTTTTTTGTTTTGTATCAGGAGTTGAACTCAGGACCTTGTGCTTGCCAGGCAGGCGCTGTGCCGCTGAGCTATATCCTCAGCCTGCTGAGCTAGCATTTCATATCCAGCATCCCATCAGTCCTGGTGCCACCCTCTGAGGAGGCAGTGATTACGCTCCCACTTCTCAGGTGAGAACCTGGAGCTTGTGGGGTTAGATCACTTGCCCATGAGTCCTTAGCAGTGAGGAGCAGAGTTGGGCCCTGATCAAGTCTCCGGCTGCTTGAAGCCAGAGTGGTCAGGAGCAACCTTGGACCCACCCTGCTCTCAGCTGTGCCATGGGCTCATCCCCTGGACCAGGCAAGAGACTTAGGGTTGTCGGGCACCAGAGGGACTGGCCTCACCCTCCCACACTGCCATGCCCTGTCTGCCTGTGGCTCACCCCTTGCCTTGGGAAGTATGCAAGACCTTGGGACGATTGTGCCATCTTTGGGCAGCTGCAGTTGATAGAAGTGCTTCCCTACATACGGCAAAACCTGCCTCGCTGTGACTTTTACCCATGGCCCCTGCGCCCCCTCCCAGGCCAGCACTGCTATAGGGACCCTCGCAGGACGAGATCCCAAACCTCCCGCTCTGAAGCCTGTCCCCTTCCTGGTTCCCCTCTCCCTGTCTCAGTGCCAACAGCCACCGCTGCAGGGTACCAGGCGCCTCTGGAACACGATGTTCCCCGGCAACAGGGCAGCTCAACCGTGCCAGCCAAGTCCCTGGCTCAGCTGAGGGCCCCAGGTCCCAGGAGGGTGGAGAAGTGGGAAGGGACAATGTGCCACCTGCGGTGGCTGGCAGATGCCAAGGGATATGGCTAGAGGGCAGGATGGGGCATCTCTGTCAAACGGCTTGCTGCCTGGCCACTCCAGACATCTGGCTCGGCCGCTCAGACCTAACTTTGCTGCTGCCTGGCCGGGTCTGGCCCTCCTGGGACTCCACGCCTTCCCTGCCCGCACCAGCTATCTGGAGGGGCTCCTGCCTTAGCGTGGGGAGAGGGTGCTGCACCCCCTCCCTCCTGAGGCTTTCCAGCTTGTCCCCAGGTCTGTGCCCCCTGGGCAGCCCTCCCCTTTTCCTCCCTACCCACCGCTCTCAGGCGCCCCCCTCTTTCCTCGATGTCTCACAGCAACTGGCAATAAGTAGCAGCAGACATGGCGCAAGCTGACTCAGATGGCAGGGCTGGCATGGCACAGTCGTCCCAGGGACGGTCCCCCAGTGTGGCGGTGGGGGATGGGGTCCCGGGGAGGACTGATGAGTGCGTGGGTGCAGAACTGAGCCCCAGTCTTTGGGACAGCAGGAGGCTGGACTTTGGCTGCCAAGCAATGCCCAAGGGGGCACCGAGTGGATGCAGAGCTCTGGAATGTTGGCTTCACTGCCCAGTGAGCACCAGGGCCCCCCGCTGGACTTGCCTCCCATTGAGCTGGGTGGGCAGTACCCCCATCCCCCCACTAGACTTCTTTGGGCCAGGAGGTGGTGACATTGGAGGGTCCTTGGGCTGGGAAGAGGCAGGTGAGCTCTGCCAGGCCTGACTCCCCTCCCCACGGCTGAGCCAGCAGCCTGCTGCGTGCTGAGGTGGCACTACCCAGGACTCCCGCCTGCACCGCCTGGAGCAGCTCCTGGGGAAGGAAGGGGGTGCCACAGCAGAGAGACCTCAGTGCAGGAGCCTGGGGCCCCAAGTCCCCAGGAAGCGGGGGTGGCCGAGAAGATGGGGGGCACTGGACCTCAGAGTGTGGCTCTGACCTGGGACCCTGCCTGGAGGAGCTGTCACAAATACCCCAGCATCTTCCCCGCTCCCCCAGAGAGGAGAGAGGAAAGCTGGGCGTCTCAGCCCGGTGGACAGAGGCCAGAGGCCCATTTTCAGGAGGCCGAGGTCATGCGGGCATGGATTCTGGCCAGGTCCCCCAGTACAGGGACAATGGGGAGCTAGCTAGGGTGCCCCAGCCAGAGCCCCAGTCACCTCCCTCCACTCACTCCCTGCGTCCTTGACCTTGAATTAACCTCTTACTGGGAAGGGGAAGGGGATGCGGGGAAGGGGAAGCCCAAGGCCCCCATACCCCCACCCTCCCCTGCCTAGGGGTCCTCAGGGCTCCTTTCCTTTGGCTAACAGGGAAGGAGGTCTTGGCCTGAAGTCTGGGGCCAGGTAGGGGGTGCAGCCCCTTCTTTCTTGGGTGGCTTTGGCGGAACTTCTGGAGCACCCAGAACTCTAGAGGTAGGGGTTGAAGGGGGGCGGGCCTCCCCCAGCCCCTTCCAGCGGGAGCTTCGGCCCCGCCTGCCTTGCTGGGGAATAATTTATTCATTGTGACTCCCGCAGGATCAGCCATCATAGATAATTAGGGTTAATTATGACATTCATTAATTACGACTTCCCCTTCTGCTTTGCCCCACCCCCGCTCCCGGGTGGGGGTTGGGCCGCCTCTGACTGCTCCGGAGCCGCAGACACTCGGGTCCCCACTGGACCGACGACCCACTGCCGCAGCCCTGGGCAGGTGCGGACGCCGAAGCTACGCACCCTCATCCGGAGCCTCCCTGGGCTGGGGGTGCGAGACAGCTATGGGCGCCGGAGACCCAGGCACTCAGAGATAAACGCACACGGTGACACCCGGATGAGCCAGACAGGTGCAGCGACATTGAGCCGTGCGCCCCGCACGCACTACACCCGCGGCGCGGCCGCCGCGCACCGTCCACACCCGCGGCGCGCGCTCCCCGCCGGCGACAGCGTCCGAGCGAGGCAGCCTCGCAGGCGCGGAGCGGCGGAGGGGCCAGGGTCCCCGAGTCCCCTCGTCGCCAGCCTTGCCCCCACCACCCCGGGTGGCAGCGCAGCTCGGGGGCCTCCTCGCGCTCCGCCGGCTCCCGTGACCCCCGAAACCTCCTCGTGGCCAGGGGCGCCTGGGGACCCCGGCCTCGCGCCCCCCCCCCGTTACCTTGGTTTCCTGGGTCGCGGGTCCAGTCCCCGGGGGGCTGCGCGCCGCCGCGTCCTCGGGCTCGTTCTCCTTCTCGCCCATCTCGGTCATGGTCGGGGACGTGGCCGGGCCCCGACGGCAGGCGTCTCAGGGACCCCGCCGCCCACCCGGGTATCAAGCCCCGGGACCCCCAGGGGGCCCCCGCCCGGACACAGCAGCGCCCGCCCCGGGGCTCGGGCGGGAAAAGTTGCGGGGGCCCCAGGCGCGGGGACCGAGGGTCCG